CTTTTCAATCTCCTGTAGAAAGCGTGCTCGGTAAAAAATGACTACTTAAGTAGCATACATTTTTCCCATTGACTTTCGATGGTCTTGGAACTTCGAATATATTTTATAGAAACCATAAACAAAAATAAGCTTTCTTTTAGTCAATCAATAGAGAATCACCTCTTCTTTATATTTTATACTTAAGGAAGGAGCATAATTTGGTTTTAAAAAAGTTTCTAATTATGAGACTTTTTAAGATAGCGATATGTCCATTCACATAGCATCGTACCTGACCGTTTACCATTGCTGCTCATGAAATGTACAACATGGTCCGCATCCATTGCAAAATTTTATGGACCCTGCATGATATCTCTTTAATGACATAGAAAAATATGGGAATTTCTTTACGCGGAACGCATGCACCTTGTAGAGTGTAATCACTAAGCGCTAATGCAACGAAGGATCAGGCTCCAAATTATTCGGCAATTAGAAAAATTTTTTTAAAGCCTAATTATACTCCTTCCTTGAGTATAAAATATAACAAAGACGTGATTCTATATTGATTGCCTAAAAGAAAGCTTATATTTGTTTATGGTTTCTATAAAATATATTTGAATTTCCAAGACCATCGAAAGTCAATGGGAAAAATGCATGCTACTTAAGTAGTTATTTTCTTACCGAGCACGCTTTCTACACGAGACTGAAAAGAAGTGCGTTTAAGAGCCGACATCCTGCCGAGTCCTAAATGTTATAAGAGTATGCCTTAAGATAATCAGTATCACAACCGCGACCAAGTAATCCTTCCTAATCGAAAACGCATTTCAGAATTTCCGCCAACATTTCATGAGGTAGGTCAAGCACTGTACTTTCCAATGTCCACATTGCGCTTACATCTGGGACCAGGACAACGTAACCGACCCTCGCTGACTCGGTCCTCAAGGAGGTCATTTGGAGTGACTGAAGGACTGCGGTGAGGCTGCAATGGCTCCTACGTAATGCAACCTTTATGACGACCTTCCGTATTACTTGTCTTCTGCAGATAAGGCAAGTTTCAGTTTTGTACGTTTGTTGGATCAGATGGGTTTATCAATCGATGCCGTGCACATTGACTTCAACAAGGCCTCTGACAGTTTTCCACACAGACGACTTATATTTAAACTACGTAAAGTGGGTGTGAATGAAAATCTGTTGAAATGGCTAGCCGATTTTCTTACGGGTAGGTCTCATCGTGTGTGTCTCGGAAACGCTAAATCGGAATGGGCATCCGTCCACAGTGGCGTTCCGCAGGAGAGTGTTTTGGGTCCAATTCTGTTCTTAATATATGTGAACGACTGTCTGAACTGCGAGCGCTTAATGTTTGCCGATGATCTCAAATTGTGGAAATCAATAGAGAAGCCGGAAAACTCTGTAAGGTTACAAGACAATCTGAATCGCTTACAACAATGGTGTGATGAGTGGTGTCTTAGCCTCAATTGTAGCAAATGCCAACTAATCCGATTGCGATCTAGCAATAGGAGGCCACTGAGAGTTGAGTCTCACTATAGTATGTCACCAACTCGAATCAGTCGAAGAGCTAAGAGGCCTCGGTGTGTGGATGACGTCAACTCGCAAACCATCGTCTCACTGCGCCAACGTATCAAAGAAGGCTGTGGGTAACCTAGGCGCGATTAGAAGATCCTTCCTCAATTTTGACGAAGAAATTTTCGGACGAGTATTTAGAGCATTCGTTCGACCAGTGTTGAAAAATAGTGTTCAGGCATGGTGTCCCTGGACGAAACAAGATAACACCCTACTGAAGAACGTACAACGAAGAGAGACAAAGCTAGTCGGCGGATTAAGTAGCTTACCTTATAAGAGACGCCTAGAAAGGCTAAAAGTATTTCCTCTCTTTTATAAACAACACAGAGAAGATATGATCATGGCCTTTGTGATTATCCGAGGGCTAGACTGTGCTCTTCAGTTTGACGATTTTTTCGAACTGGCACGAACGACCAAACATTGAGTCTACCAGTACAACTTGAAGGTAATGGATGCCAAACTTGAAGTGTGGGCCAAAGTCTTCTCCCATCGACTGGTTGAAGTATGGAACAAATTGCCGAAAACGTTGAGACCTTCAAAAGAAGACTACATAAATTAATGCTTGCTGGTCAAACATTTACACTGATATAACTGCTATGTAAATTTCTGCATGCTTTTTTCATACGTCTATCTGTGAATAGGATTTACCAAGGCTCTGCCTCTATCTCTCATATATACTGAATTATAAAACAGATGGACTGTGCACCAAGCTCCCTTACTTTTGACGAAAAACCAGCGAGTTCAGTATGCTACGGGGGCAGGATCACGCTCCCTTCTGGTCAGCACAGTCGTAGCCGGAGATGGGGTGTGAGGCAGGGAAAACTAAGCATAGCATGATGAATCGCCCTCAAATCAGTAACGAACTCGTGGCCAGCCTTTATCAGGACAGTTGGTGTGAGCTCTCCCCTCCGTCTAGACTTCATTCTGAGGCTCAAAAGCCGAAGTTTTGGTTGAAACGTCAGGCTCCCAGTACACCTGTCCCATTGGATGCCGACTCTCCTGTTCTGTATCCCAGTGGTTGAGCAACGTCCAGTGACAGTTGGTCCGCTGCAGGTTGTGCGCGAAGTCTGAATGTACTTCACCTGCGTCACATTTTTCTCGCACTAACTGGCCAATGAATGACATCACCAGAGGTTGGTGCGACTGCATTGGCTGACGTCGCCGAAGGCCGCGTCTGCGCGCACAACGCGTCCGCCGGAACGAACTTCGAGGTGGCGGATCTCAGACACCAAGGAATACTTTGTATGCTGGGTTCTGGAGAGGCCGCTGCTGTCTGCTTTTCGGTGCAAAGTTTGACCTGAAACCTTGATGCATGACTGCTGATGCGTCTGTTACAGTAGGTGGGCTAACTCATGAAATGGCAACCGAAATTCCGAAATGTGCTTTCGTTTCGAAAAGATTAAGTAATTAGGATTGTACAACTAATCATCGTGCCGCGTAATTCTATAATAATTAAGTTACCTCGGGATGCCAACTTTCGAAGGAACTTCTTTCCAGGTTCATGCAGAAACTACACTTTGTAAAACATGTCTACTAAAGAAGCATGCATTTTCAATGTAAACTTTCGATACCCTTAAAATTTCAATTATATATTTCGGAGAAAACATGCATAACAATATTCATGCTTTTGCTTATTCGGTATAAAATGACGTCTTCCAATTTTATACTTAAAGGAAAGGTATGAATTGATTTTCAAAGACTTTTTAACTTCCCGAATAATTTTGAAACCGACCTGCCGGTACACGTGCATTCAAGGCCTCCAAACTACAAGCCGTATATTGTCCGCGTACGGAAAACCATACATTTTTCTACGGTACTTAAGGGGACTATATAGGGTTCATAAAATTTAGCAATGGGTTTGAGCCATATTGTTAACTTTAAAAGCCACATTGGTAAATGCAGAGACACGACGTTTTATGAACGGCTATTTCACGGTATTAAAAAGCACACAATTAGGAACATTTTTAAAACCGATTTATACCTTTTAAGTATAAAATTGGAAAACGTCATTTTATACCGAATAAGCAAAAGCATGAATATTGTTATGCATGTTTTCTCCGAAATATAATTGAATTTTTAAGGGTATCGAAAGTTCACTATGAAAATGCATGCTACTTTAGTAGGCATCTATTACAGAGTGTAGTTTCTGCATGAACCTTGAAGGAAGTTCCTTCGAAATCTGTCATCCCGAGGTAACTGAATTATTATAGAATTACGCGGCACGATGACTAGTTGTACAATCCCACTTAATTAATCTTTCCGAAGCGAAAACGTGTTTCGGAATTTCGGTTACCATTTCATGGGTTAGCCCACCTACCGTATATCATCTTTATGAAAATGCTGAACTACAGTTAAGAGTTGTAAACAAGTCAGCTTTGCAGAAACTGGGGATGTGTTCTTGCTCAGTGCTTACGTGACGCAAATGTGTCGTCTGACGTCTGTCGCACGCATTCGTTGTGAGTTGAGCCGTCGTTGTCGAGGATGTCCACTGTATGCCCTACAACAAGGTGGGTGCATAAACGGTGAATTACGCGTGAGTTATTTTATGGGGAGAGTAGACTTGCGCTAGACTCACACCACTCTTTACTCCTCCTCCTCCTCCCTCTTGTGTCCAGCCCCACGAAAGAGTCAAGAAGACCGGAGGCGAGATCGGGCATGGATCGTCAGCGTGGCGTGGGCCTGCGCAGAGGTGCGCCACCGCACCCTCCCACGCATGACATTGTGTGATGGCCAGATCACGAACAGAAGTTGCCCAAGGCAGGCGCCGAACGTGGTACCACTAAATCGCAGGATCCATACGCTGTATGATGTGTTGAATTATAAGGGAACCATTTTGTATTCAGTCACTTCTTGGAGTTTATACGTACCTACTTTTTTATCGATATCGAGCCAGCTACGCTGATTTGGAGTCAGTAAAGTTAGGTCGATCATACCTCATGGATGACATGTCAAGAGTATCCCATTCGAAACTTCCCAACCACCCTCAAGAAGGCACAGTCTTCCACTTAAAAATATAATTATTCGACAGAAGGCTCTTACGTTACAAAATATTCTCATAGGGTAGTGTGAGTGTATATGCGTGTGTTTTGTGTTGCATGGTATGTGCAGTTGAGTACGACGGGGTGTAACTGTCTCTGACGACACTGGATCCCGCTGAAGGCCAAGTTGCACTCCGTTATTTACTTTGTGCGGTCTGCGTGCTGCAGGCCAGCCCCAGAAGGGAATCAAAGAGGCCATTTGAGGTGTAGTAAAATCAGGTGAGGCAGAGGAGAGAGAAGGTGGTCCTATTGGTATTGGTGACGCGGCATCTGTTGGACGCACTAAGCAGCGCCGGGTGGTGGTGGTACGCGGGCGCTGACTGGGGTAGACAGTACGCACAACCGGTTTTTCGGAGCGGAGGACGCGTCACGCAGATCGTAGCGGTACTGGCATGGCTTGTCGCCTCATTCACAGGCCAATTTTCCGTCAAATGAGGAGAGAGCTATGCCAAAAGCCTGCAGGGCACAGAGTGGATACTCAAAATCCATGCTGAAAACGTCCTCGGAGACGCGACCAAACTGCATGAGGACATTATTTTCTGAAAAGTTCATGAAATGAAATAAGTCACAGAGCACGCAGGAGACGCCCTAAATCCAGAAAAAAACGGACACGTCATGAATTACTCACCATCTGTCTTTGGTACGATTTGGAAATTCTTTACGGACGCCTGGGTGACACGCCCGTGGAAATTCAGGACATACGATTGGGTGTCTTGAGGAAGGAAATATGTTACATAGTGAGAAACGTTGGGAAGAAAAAACATAATATTAAGATATGGGTCCCTAAGTCACTGTCTGCTACCCTCAGATGCACACTAACAAGCAATTATCCCAGTCTTATGTGGCGATCGCGGTCGCTCGGTAGGAGTTTGTGGTGGCAAAGTTTAAACGTCGCAGATGTGTCTCGGCTTTTGGAATTTCCTTGTTCAAACAGTTTGATGCAATAAGTCCAACCCAGGAATGGAGTTCGCGGTTATCGCGATATCGTGTCAACTGTCATTTTTAGACCAATGATTTAACGGAAATGGGTAGGTCCTAGTCTTCTATCTAGAACTGGGGTGATATATCGTCCCGTTAAATCCAGGGCCTTCACAAATTCACATTGTCTTATTTGCCCAGACTATACCAACGAGAATGCCCTGGAGACGCTTGTTTCGTGGTCGTAGGGAAGAAACTATTATGAAAAAACTACGAAACAGTCCCTGCCGAATCCTGACTGCGGTTGTAATACAAACTGGGACAAATTGGTAAGCGCTGATCTAACATGACGATGTATTCGTGAGTCTTGACTGCAAAAATTGAGCTGATAGGGTCAGTGTGTAAGAACAGTAAATCAATAAATTGAAGAAATCTATATGATGGTACTGGATATCTGGTTCTACCGCCGTTCACCTGAGCAACCCCCCTTCGAGTCCCTCATGACGCCCGCCCTACAGTACTGGTTGCCATGTCGATTTGAGAGAGCGTCACATCGACAGGGCAACGACCTCGTTGCCCAGTGGTTAGAGGCGTGGACTTCTAACTAACAGGTCGCGAGTTCGAGCCTCAAGTGTTCCACACTTCGGGGTTGGGTATGACTGGCTGACAACGGCTAATAAGCCGGAAATGGCCATTCCAGTCTCCCTTGTCTTTGGCGGTACTAACATACTGCCAGCATCACACCTGTCACTCCCAGCGCCAAGACCCCCCTCTATGGACGGCAGCACGTCATCTGCCCTTCCTGCGGACGGTCCGCCGACTCAACCAGAAGGAACACCAATCGATGGATCCCATACGCATCAAGAGAGCGTCGACGGTAGCCGCCCTGCCTCGACTGTAGCTCTCCTCCACGTAAACTCTTCAACTTGCAAACGACATTCCTAGTCGGTTCAATTGGGAACGGGCTGTTGTAAATGCGCCGTTGCATCTGCAGCGTTTCTGAGCTGTTTGTGTGGCAGACTGTGCTAACCGGACTCTCTGTCCTGAAGCTGTGGCCAGCACTGATTATTGCATCAGTCACCTTATTTGCTTCGAAGCCTAAACAGCCAGGGTTGTTCGGTTCCACCGCATGGGCTCCTTCCGCAAAGCAACTTTGTGTAGGCGCAGACACGCTGACCTACGGCCACTCGACGGAATTCAGTTCGGACACACGCTCGTCCAGGCATTAGCGTCGCGTATACGCTGCTGGAACACGCCACCCTTTGACATATGCGGCATAAGCCATTAAACGCTTCACCCCTAGGGTAAGGCAACAGACACAAACACGACAGTTCAACCGTCGTGCCCGAAGATGTCCACCGCATAAGGTGAAGCAGGAACGGTAACTTGCGCGTGAATTAGCTTATAGTGGCAGTGGACTTGCACAGCATCTACCTCGCCCTCTCCACCTCCTCCTCCTCTTCCCCATCTGCGTCCGATGTCAAGACAGAGGCAAGAAGACCGGCGGCGGGGGAGGACGCATGTGGATGATTCGGTCGAGCCCGCACCTTGGCGATCCATCCCACACCCCCTGGCCCACACAGAAAATGACCGGATTGTTGAACAGCAGCAACAATGGGAATAGGTGGCAGGGGTCCCAGTGTGCGCGACGTCTGTCGGCAACCGGGTCTGCCACCGCGCCCCGAAATGTTGGCATTTGTTATGGTGCGCATTCCGATAACGCCTGCCAGAGGCCGATATGACGCCCGTGTTGGTCCGACGCATCTACCACGTCACCCGTTTGGCGGAAGGAGGCACAACACACACCCTTGCAGACATGACAACGTCAGCGTACGTCGTAAATTGACCAGCGGCCGCTGCTCCCTGAGACAGCACCTCAGGCGTTGTATATCATAAACCCCCCATTCTGATGTCTTTGACTTTATCCTGAAACCCGGGACCTGACTCTGCGTCTCAATGCACAACCAGTGATAAAGCCACCAAAAAAAATTGAGACATTAGTGGACCTGTTTGCGTGCGATGCCAGACTTGTTTCAAACTTATGAGTCAGCTCCCGCTTGTCAGAATAACTCTTTGATTCCTTAGATTAAGATGTGTTCAGCGGAGAAAAGCAAAAGACTTGTAGACGTCAGGTGCGGATCCCGCAGTTAAAAGTTTCTGTTCGACATTTAACAATATGCCTCGAAAAGGGCTGACCGTTAAATGAATTCCGGCCTATCTGGGCTCATGTTAAATTAGAAGGCGATGAGAATAGGATGCAGAATTTGGCGGAGTTCTTCATGAGATTGGGAAACATTTTCTCGGGCAAACATTTGGGTGAGAACTCGAGGCAGGATGGTGCCGAGTATTTGCTAATATCTGCATTGCAGTAACACATCCTTTCAGACCTCCCTGTGGTTCACCCGGGGGTAAACACTTCGGTACGATAACTTCACTACTATCTGAGTGCTGATCAGAAAAGGTTAGGTCAATGCGGGCTTAAAAGAGACGTTCAAAATGCTTCTATCGGCGCTGATGAAGCCCTCACTTTTCTAAAAACCTATTACACTGATGCCGGCCGGAAAGTGGTCAAATGTAGATAGTGTTGACTTCGATTCTTTACATAGCGTAGCCTGCATTCTTGACGTAGCGGGCACCTGTTATTCGGGCGGAAGCTGATTCAAAGGCGAGTCAACCCTTACCTTCATTCCAAACGGGGGTCTTGTTTCGAAGTTCCATGATGGCGTAGGTTTTCCTTTTCCGCCACTGATCCAACAGTAGGCAGGAATCCTAGAAGGAAAGGAAGAAAAGGCGATTCTGGGATTTCCGTAATAAGTCCGTTTTTCATGCCAGTGCTCCTATTCTTACCATTGGATTTTTTGACCACAAGACTGAAACATTATAGACTTAATTAAAGCGCAGTCTGGCCTGGATGCTCCATGACAATGGTTCAGCCAAAAATCAGTCGATTTCGGCGTTTTGATCTCAAATTTTTATTCACTCGCTATGCTGCCAGTTGCGGTCGCTAGCATCTTAGAACAGACTGCGTTTTTGCGTCAGACCTAAACAGAGGTGGCTCACTTTGGACGAAGGCCTAAGGTTTCGGCAGCCGCTGCGCCCAGTTGGACCTTGCATTGACAAATGTTGGGACGAAAACGAGCGCGCGAAGTCGCCTACGATTTAATTTTAACAGTCCTGTTAAACACTAATACCTTTGTCTCATTAAAATCACACACGCGGGCCTTAAACTATCCCAGCGCACTATAAGTGGTGATCTGGAACGTTTTCGACTGGCGAGTTAACTAAGCCCTCATCGAAAGTTAGGGTTGCTCTGCAAAGACCCTTACTTAACACGGTCTCTAGGACTGCACCCCTCTACAAAAGGTGGAGTTAAATATTGTGGCGTTGTTGAAAGAGGTGGTGGTGCGATGAGCACGTGTGCGGCACGCACAGATGTGAATTTTTAACCTCAAACTCGCGTCCACGTCAGACCCCAGTCGTCTTGATCATTTCATGTCTCCCAATGATGATGGACATGGGAAGAAAGTGAATTAGACAGCGTGCCAGTTTCCTCCATTATGCTCTCAGCAAGGCACAAGTCACTATGGTGAATTTGGACAACGACAGTCCTCATCACTTATAATGGGTTAGCTATCAGTTATGCCAAAATGCTGATTTCTTAGATGTACGCTGATATGACTTGAAAAACATGTCTGCCAATTCCAGGTTTACACACTACATTCTGTGTTTATTGGCCAAGTTAATGTCTAAACAGCGCATGTTGACCGGAAAGCATTGAAAATTCTCTTTCCTTGCGCCACCTCCACGCTGCATGGAAAGACAGTAAAATCGCAAGTCAGCATTCAACAGCTCGAAGCCTCAATGCGAGAACTGTTCACGGGTTGGCGGGAGGAGAGGCCCTAGAAAATGAGCCGAAGAATTTCAGTCTGATCCCCGTTTTTTACCTCTGAAAATTGTTCACCAGCTGACGCAGCCAGTATTCGCGTCGTAAATTCCTTAACCGGACTATAAACCGGAGTTGGCACGAATATCTGTCAGGGCGTTTACCAAAGGTTGCTAGCCCAAGTGCCCAAGCCGTGTAGCAGTCCTACCAAGATATACTTGCTTGATTTGCTAGGCAACGTCCGCTCGACAACGCCCAATACTCCACGAAGCAAATGGGTGCCCATATACTTGATAGTACAAAGTGATGTCTGTGTAGGCGTAGGTGTGTCTTCCTAAAAAAACTCATCAGAGTCTGTGTGTCGCAAACGGATAAGAAACCAGTCGCTGTTTATAAAATCAACCAGCGGTGAAGTGGCAAAATTGTGCAAAGCGTAACTTTCCGAACAACATACATTGTCAGAATAGATATTCATCATGTGGTCATCTTCATCCATTTTGGGAATTATGACAGTCATTTTGCGTGGCCCCTTGAAACCTAGAATATTCGGATCCTAAAACCAAAGGAGAAGGAATCACAGTTAATGCTAGGAGCAGTAAATGTTTCTGAACCTGCACATCTACCAAAACATAGTAGGTATATAGAAATGGGGGAAACATGAAGATAGAAGTTTAGTTGGTTGCAGCAGGATCTCACGACTATAGTAAGCCAAACTGCCATGCTTAAGGATTAAATTAATATAATCAGCTAATTTAGGAACAGAAAGCGTGTTGCTAATTGCCATACAAGCATGAGATGGGTTAGGTATAGCTCCCGTACACGACGTAGAAAGATAAATATTGCTATTGATTATTTCAAAGTAGACATTTCACATTCGACAAAGCGTACATAAATTATGGCGGCCATTTCCCGTGTTTCTCTCGGAGATGCCGGCATGCTTCCACTCAGAACCGAATTTCTTCCCTGCATGACTACCGATTCGGACTCAGAGCGCTCAGTCATCCTACCTTTGGCCGTTTGTGACGATGAGACATCATAAACAGTGAACTGAGTTCCAACAAAATTGGCCCGCAACTTTCCAGCCAGGCGGCAGCTCGATCGGGAAAGATCGGTTGCATCAAAGGAGATGACATAATTACTGGTGGTTGAGCGGCGTCTTCGACGAGCAGCAAGAAGAAAGAATCGGCGACCATCATCGTGCTCGAGATGAAGGAAGTAGGTGGGAAAGAAACCCCGATCGACACCGCGTTTGTCTCGGCTGATCCGACAGCGAACCGTAGTACCCTTATGAGAAAAAAAACTAAAGTTCACTGCAAGTTTGTGACGTGGGATATACTTAATTCTTGTTAAGAAAGCAGCTTGCCTGTTTGCGATTATACTTTAGAAGAAAAAAGACAAAGAATTCAATTTGCGAGTTTACCTGAAAACAGCGGGGTGACTCTAAAAGGTTTTGTGGTTCTGTAGGAGTTCATGGCAAGGTCTTTGTGATGCGTCTTACCAAAACATACAGTGGTTTCGTAGGAACTTTGGCGTGAGCTTTGCAATACGTTTTGCCAACCGTAGAGACCTAACGCAAACTTTTTATACTTGGCTAGACAAAGTGGTAAACAGCATTAGTTTAAAGACTTCAATTCACGAAATGGTATTCACGACACAGTCATTAACGAAAAAGGAGACACGATTGCCTGAACAGGAGCTTTATTGGCCTTGCGTTTCGGATTCCCACTCGAATCCATCATCAGAGGAAGAGTCAGATAAGGCTTTGCAAGTAGGGTCAGAGAACTGACGTAGAGAAGACCAAATGCCATGAGTTCAAATCTGCTCCTACAGAGGATGTCTCAACGTGTCCGCGAACAGAGAGCGATATGTGACGCAGCGCTGGCGAACAAATTTAGAAAGCTACCTTATTCTGCGTCGCCCAAAAACGATAAACTGGTGCACAACCTGTCGTCAAAGGAGCTGACGAAGGATAAAATGCTGGTGTTACGGGATAAACCTTCATCTAACACAGCTGATGCCAAACCTGCCAATGTGATCGCAGCGATGGAATAAATCCTCAGTCAGACGGAAGCGACGGACCTTATTCGACACCAAACATCGTCTCTCCGCGTATCGTCTCTCCTTATGGCTCACAGGCCGCGCGAAGTGCTGTTCAAGATCGAACTTGCTGTACTTAAGGGACTCAAGGCCGATAAAGCTCTCGTTATCGTGCCTGCGGACAAGGGGTGTTCCACGGTTGGTTTGAACAGGACAAACTACATTAAGAAGCCAAACGTTTATTGGAGAACGACAGTCCTATACTCCTTGCGCAGCCAACCCGGCAAAAACACTGACACGAAAAATCAATACGATACTGTTGGAATTGAAAAAAAAACTCGGGTGCAATATCACCGGCTGGCCGACGCATGGCGAGAGTCCAGAACACGGCCTTGGCCCGCTTCTATGGCCTTCCTAAGGTGCACAAAAAGGGTGTCCCCTTCCCGTCCAAAGGTACTCCAACTTGCGAACTGGTTAAATGGCTGTTTTGGCGTCTCAAATTTATGACTGCAAATTCGGACACTACAGTCAGTTTGTCAACACAATTCTTGGCGAAACTTAAAGGGTTGAGTCTTCTGCCAAGCGAAGTCACGTCAAATTTTACTTCCTTTCCGCAGGACCTGGCAGTCAAGGCTATCGAACTACTCCTACGAGACAAGCATGATAAGACGCGGAATCGCCATTGACACGCCCAACTCATCCAGCTCCTGAAGTTCTGACTCAAGACGTACTTAACGTTCGACAGAACAATCTACGAGCAGGTGGAGGGAAGGCAAATGGTTCGTCGATTTCGGGACTTATAGCTGAGGCGGTCCTACAACGGTTGGAGTCGCTGGTTTTCGGACACCACAGACCGAAATTCTGGGCTCGATTTGCGGATGATAACTTCGTCTTTATCGAACGGGATCGGGTGTTAGGGGTCCAAGAACATCTCAATGTCATCCCCCGGACATCCAATTTACGACAGAGGAAGAGGAAAACAACCAGCTTGCCTTTCTTGATGTCTTTGTCTGCCGCAAAGATTGTGGTGGCCTAAAGACCAAAGTGTTCAGGAAGGCGACAAAAACGACGCACGTACTGAGCTACAACAGCAACCACCCAATAAGTCACATCCGCAGTTACGTAAGGACACTATACCGGCGTGTGGGGACACACTACTGTGAACCGAAAGACAAGGTTGCTGAATTACAATACCTTCGACTGATATTCAAAGCCAATGGCTACCCGCGCAACTTCGTCAACTAGTGCCTGCGCAAAGGAGACAAGAGACGAAATCCTGCCGGCCCCAAATTTTGGCGAGCTCTCCCGTACGTGAAGAATGTCTCAGAGGCCGCCAGCCGTCTTATCACATCATTTAGAAATGGAGTAAAACACAGGCCGGAGGCAACCATAGGGAGCCAGATCAAGAGACCGAAAGGTCCATTGCTAAGGCAAGAAACAGCTGGAGTCGGTTACCGTGTCTGTTTCAGATGTGGCAAAACAACTATGTCGGAGAAACCGGAAGACTACTGTGGACGCGGACAGCCGAGCACGCAGCAGCAGTGAGGAGGGAAGAAGCCGGCTCACTTGACGGGACCCAACTACATATTCAAGTTTGATGAAGCAGAAATTCTTGCTAGGAATGACAACTGCGTCATGGTTTTCCGGTCCTCAATCAATCAACAAGCGCGACGGCTGAGACTTTGCCTGGGCAAAGTAGTTGGCCGCGAGAACAGCGTACGGATGACCACTGTTCATAGTATCAATATCGGCGAGCCAAATTGCCCAAGCGTCCGAACGATTGACGAAATCTGGCCGTCAGAAACCCGACTGCGTGCGATGGGCGTGGGAATCAACAATCTTGACCGGAACCCAAGCGCAAAGCAACAGCACGGCAACTGCATGCTTCCACACCTGGCCAGTCGAGCTGTGATGCCCTCGGAAGCTACCGGCTACGACAGGCATGCAGCGGCCTAGCAACTACATCCTATAAATACTGCAACACCTGGCCCTTTCACCACCCTTTTCTGATGATGGATTCCAGTGAGAATCCGAAAATTCAGGCTGATAAAGCTCTTGCTCCAGCCTGAGAAACCGGAAGACTACTGTGGACGCGGACAGCCGAGCACGCAGCAGCAGTGAGGAGGGAAGAAGCCGGCTCACTTGACGGGACCCAACTACATATTCAAG